GAATAAATTAGAATATCATCAATGAACAAGATGATAAACTTATCCAAGGATTCCTTAAAGACTCGATTCATCAAGTCCATAAAAACAAGTTGGGGCATTAGTTAGCCCTATTAAGAATCGATTCTTTTTCAAATTTTCATCCCCCGCAATGGATGGGACAAATTTACATCCTTGTTTGAATCTTCGCACATATTCACCCATGGACATCCCATTATGTTTCAATTTCAAGAACTCTTGAGTCTTCTTAGCTTTTAGATCTGCAGTGAAGTATTTATTGTACAAAATTTCCTTAAACCCTTCCCGAGTTAAAGTAGAAAAGTCTACCATTAACCATGCACTTTTCTACCATGTGTCGGCATCTCCGATTAGCATAAAAATAACACATGACACTAGCTCATTGTTGGTGAATTACGGATACTCAAATATCACCTCTAGAGATTTGATTCATTCCTCGGCTACTATTAGATTAACACCCCTAAAAAACTCTAGGATTCATTTTTTGAAATCTCTTCATCGCGTCATTTCTATACCGAGGGGAGGCTACTGTTGCATAGCTAGGAACCGCCTCATCTACTCTACATGGGCTTGGTATTGTTATTGTTATTGCATTGCTTATTGTTGTTGCTACATCATCTCCATCATACGATTCAAGGCCCCTCGTTAATTTGTATTATTATTATTACCGGAGGTCCCTACTCCTCTTACTCACACAGGATTCCTCTTTGGCGACATGATTTGACTTCACACACACCATGTTATATTCAGGTTAGTTTCGATATCAAAATCCTTTCCTTATTGCTTACGACACACAATACAAAGCATTCATGTACATATATAAATATTTTATTATTTTTTTAAGCATAACGTACAAAATAGACATTCATATTGACAATCACATTTATATCCAAAGATTTTCATGCCATACCTACAACCAAAAGACACTTTTATTTACATCAAAGATGAACAAAAGATGATATACCGTATGATACTTTTTTCCTAGTAATACATCTAATGTATCGAGTCAACATATCGGACTCGAAGAGGAAAGCAATACTCAACTCTCCACCAATCAATGTCATTAAACGACACAGAGTTTACTATCTCACGAGCAAGACATAAGGGTAGGCTCCGGTTATACATCAAACTAATGAGGGTCCGCCTAACTTGCATTGATAAAAAAGCTCGAATCAAGTCTTAGTAAGAATTACGATCTACCTCATGCTCCCACACCTCATCCAATAATTATTGATTCCGTGATAAAAGAGTTTAACCCAATGTCATCCTCATAAAATCCACACTATGATATCGATCAAAGGAGGCGTTGACAAATACTATTCACCGAATCAAATTGTGTACTCTAATAACATGTGCCACCGACTCCTAGTCCGGTATCATGGTTAGGTTGTTTAGTTCAACCTAGTAAGCGGCTAGGGTAGCCCTCCGTTGACGTATCCTACCGGTTCGGGGGATGCAAAATAGATATGGCATCTACAACAACAATATTTATAAGTCACCATAATCTTCAATCAATAACTATATACCGACATAAAAATACACAATAAACACACATTCACTAGAAACAAGGAATCAAACTTTACTTGTCAAGTAACGCACCAGTTCTCAAGCTCATGTGACACTTAAGACTCTTTCCGGTTAACTAAACCTAGGCTCGATACCACCTTTGTAACACCCCTAGCTCACTTACTATTACCCAAATAGGAGAGGCTAGGTTCGTTACGTCGATATGATCAAAATCTCGACTAATCCCTATATATACGTTTTCGTAAACAAAAAAAATATTAAGTAATAAAGTGCATACAATAAAATTTACATAACATTAATAAATATAGCTACATAAATTATAAAATATCTAAGATGCCATTTACCCATAAATAGACACCATATCCCTTATCTATAATCAAAAGAGATTCCTATATTTTAGTATAACACATGAACCCCTTTTTAGTGAGAACTAGCAACATCCTCGATCAAACTATCTTTACCCTTACTCGTTACACCACACAATTACAATAATAGAACGAGCCAAAGCTCGGTAAGTAAGGTGATGCACGTGATATGCAATGTTTTCTTATTTCTCTATATTCCTCGTCAATTTTAGTTCAAGTACTCTAGGTATTAGCAAGTCCTCTCTAGTTTCATCTCTCTATGATTGCCAAATCACCTACTACTAACGAAGAAATTATCTCTCGTTGTAGCACACGATTAGCAAAATTATCCATCACCTAACGGTATAATCAAATAATAGAACACACATACGACTTCATTACTAATATCCATTTAATCCAATTTCGTTACCAAACCTCTCAATTCTCAATCCAATGATTTCTCTCAATTTAGCTCACCCCCAAATGCATATGATACACATGATGTTTTGATTACCATATCCATCTAGTCATAGTTACCAAACCCTACATTCTCAAACCATTCTTGAAATCCAATCCACATATAGGATTTCATATATATTTTATATATCTTACATAGTATTCACCCAAGGAAATCAATTACCACCAATTAGTATTAATCAATCCATAAACTTTACTTCGTACGTAAGTACCTTCCTTTCATATAATTAGTAAGTCTTATCATAGATTTCATCCTACCATTTAGCTTACATAAACATTAGTCCTAAAGACCAAATTTAAAACATACTAAAGGTGTAATTTCTTGTCTAACCCGAATTTTAACCTTAATGGTCAAATTTAGCTCTTACAATTTTAAGCCATAAATTCCAATTTTCTTGAAGTTTTACCTATCTACACATCATAATATACTTATCCAAGCACAATTGAACCAACCATTCTATAATTGGATGAGTGAAACTCAAATCCTAAACATTAAGGCTTAGGCCGAATGTAACTCGAGGGTTTGAATGGATTTTCCTACAATTAAAGTAAAGTTTTCAATTCCTACGCCCTAATCCATACCAAAGTAAGTTATAATTAAACTCTAAAACATCAATCACTTGAAAGCATCAAAGTCCCCTAATTTAGATAAGTAGGCCAAATGGTTCCCTTTAGGGAACCTAGGAATCCATCCACCAAGGTTCTCTCTAACTAATTTCGGTCCAAGCCCATTCATTTACCAACCAAACCCAAAAACAAATCCTTAGACATAAAGCAAAGCTTTACGAGGCTCAAATGAGTAACCATCCCAACAATTCATCAAATATAAACCAATAAATTCAAGTCAAACCATCATGCACACAATATCAACATAAGCAACCAATGACAACATAACTAACAACTCAAGTCATTCACATCAATTAAGCACTTAGAACTCAAGCTTATGATGTAAAATAAAACTTACTTACATTGATTCAAGCTTTCTAGAAAATCTCTTAGCTTTTTCCCTCTCCTTTCCTTCTTCCAATTCGGCTTTCCTCTCTCTTTTAGTGAGCTAAAATTTTGCTAAAAGTGATCAGCCATACTTAGCTTTTTCTTATATATATATTCAACTTTCTTCCCTCATAAATAATCTTAACAAGTGTCCTAATCTAAGTTGGTAAGGTGTAAAGTGATGGAAGGCAATGGATGCTTATGTGGCGGGTTTCTTGGTTAAAGAACATGAAGTGTAAAGTAATGGAAGATTGGAGAAGCTTAGGTGTCAAGTTGCCATTTAAAAGATAGGTAATGGGATTGGAAATTATTCCTAGGGTATTTTGTTCCAAGAATTTCAGCATTCTTATCATATTTAAATGATTTCCACTTGCATAATATATTTTAAAGATGTGATAGAAAATAAATATCAACCAATTAAGTTACCCAAAACTATTCCCATAAATACTTACATAAGCACCAAATATATTAATACCATAAAATATTAAAATCTTACATGAACTACATCATATTTAGTATATATTTATATTCCAATATATATATATATATATGTATGTATGTATTTAAGATTTTTTTTTTCACGGGAGTTACGGTTCTACTCTTATTTTGTTATTATTTGAAATCCTAATATACCATGTAAGCACACGTGACAAGCTCTAGCTAATGACAACTTGCCACGTGTCATGTTGGGTCCAAATTAGATGATTAAATTGGCAATGTGGCAAGTCGTTATTTTCTAGAGCACATATGTGGCAAGCTGCTATTGGTCGGGGTTTGAAACAACAAAAATATAAGAGTAGAACTTTTAAATTAGATAAAAAAAAAAATTTAGTGTCTCAATAAAAAAAATCAAATTGTATGAGGTCACACTATACGTAAACCCCTAAATAGTAACCTATTAAATACTCCATTTACAAGCTATTGCTAAAATATTTTAAGGAAAAAAGAAAGAAAATTATTTTTTTCAAAATTAATTGATTAAAAGAAATTTTATTAATTGGACGAGTTTTTCTACTATATTATATTGTAGTGTCACAAAGTTGCGATAGTTCAAAAGTTTATATCTCAAGTCAAATATGATTCGATCCAACTAAATGAATGAACTAGATTACCACTACTGAAATTGATGTTATCCAAATTCAAAGCAACATTTGCCGACAGATCTTCGACAGCAAATTTTATTATATATTATTTCCGTAGTTTCTATCCTCACCTTAATTTTATGATAACTTCTTCCTCTTGTTCTTTTCCACCTTTCGTTTGCAACAAATTCATTTCTTTATTCTTGTGCATTATGTGATTGACACTACAAGCATCCAACATATCTAAAACAAATCTTTCTTGTTGCATCCTAGTGCCACCAAATCATGTCCATTGAATGATACTCCTCGTATGTGTAATACTTAATGCTACACCATTATGTTTTTTCCACTGTTGAAAAGATATTAGATGCACATGAATGGTGGGTGTACATCAAAAGTTGCACTCTTGGTGATAGGTATTAACAAGCTTAGTGCTTTTTTCTTACTTATAAAAGCCTTGCTAGGGGGGTCATTGTTGGTATGTCTTCACAGCTCTATTTCACTCTTTGTACTGCCTTAGCTAGCTTCTCATTCTTCACTTCTTCCCACCTTCTTGAACAAAATGGCTTCTTCTTCTGTGACTGAGAATTGGGTAATGATGAATGGTGACATTAATAGTTCTGAAGGAAGTGAAGTCTCAGAAATAAACAGCAATGCTTTTTTAATGTCCTTGCTGGAAGAAACACAAGGTGAAGATTATGATAATGAAAGACTATCAAGTCTAATTCAATCTCTTGAAGCAGAGATTGAGCCCAAGCGAATGAATGGTGGTGATACATCCATGGAGCCTATGATGGGTCCCAACATTTGTCAATCATGCGATGCTGGACTAGTGGAAGGCCATGATTGCTGGGCGGCTGACCTGATTAATTGGAATATTGATGTGGAAATGGATTCCCCCTCAACATCATCAAGTGATCATGATGATGAAGTTTCATTCTGGTATCCTCTTGGAGATCAGATGGATGACATGACTGAGTTTGGAGGTATAAGAAATTATTCTGGAGTTTATTTTGATCATGGGACTATCCATTTGTGGCAAGAGCCATGTGATGCAGCAATGTATAGCTAAAGCATCGCATTTCAAGTTGATTATATCATAAGCTAGCTAGCCAAATGCAATTTATAATTGGATTAGCAAAACGTACAATTGTTCTTGCAAGTTGTAAAGTTTATCATTATATATATTGTAAATTTCTCTTCTTTCTTATTTTTATAATTACAATCAAATATTTGATTGCTAAGTTAATTATCATATTGCCTTAATTAATCAATTCACCTAAAAATTAAGAAACTCTATCACCTTCAAGATTACAATCCCTCCAAATCAAAATATTCACTAACAAACACGGTGAAAGAAAATGTTTATTATCAAGAAAAAAAGTGAGAGAAAATATTCACTACCAAACAAGGTAAAAGAAGCTCTTCGATTTTGAACATCCTAATTTTCGCGCAATTGGGCACAATTAATGAGAAAGTAGAGGAAGGAAGTTTGTAAAATCACGATACTTTAAAGTTTAAAGGATACCTAAAATTTTATTAGGTTTTTTAGATAACCGAAAAGGCATCTTTTCATTTTTAATTTCAATTTATTTTCGGTTAGGTAATTTTAATTTCTTCATATAGAGAATCCAACTTCAATTCCTCATTCAGAAACAGGTCAAAATTACATTTAAAATAAAATTAAAGATATGAAAAAAAAAATCAAACTATGTAATTAACTTAGTTTCAATAGGTTGAAAAAAAATTGAATAAAAAAACATGGATGGAGTTTTGAAAAACATAGGATTGAAAAAAAAAAACTATATATATATAAGCAAAACTATATCTTTTGTTAATAATGAGGAAACATTTTGTAGGTTTCATTTGAAGACAAAGTGTTTTAGGAAATAAATTGAATTAAGAGTTAACATGTAAATAAGTTATTAGGTAGGATAGAGATACTATTATTTTAGAAATAAAAGCATGCAAGTTCTACATGCATTATGTTCAGCGAAGTCAAATTAACAAAACCATTCTAAAAATCTTACATTTAAACAAAAATTCAGTTATTATTTTAGTATTTATTTTTTCCTTCTTAGTCTAAGGGTGTCAATTGGCACCTCTAAATTAGTAGTGACCTCTATCGCGGAAGAGCATGCTCATGATTTCCTTTGATTCATCCACATGTACCAAACCTTGTCATTTAATAATATAATGCAATAACTATACACTGATCTAGTTCTTTTCTCTGGCTAGTATTTCAAAACTAACTAATCTTTTGACCAAATTAATATTGATGCGATCGAAGTTTAACAATATAATATAATAGATTCTCATTGGTGTGCAAGAAAATGCATGTTCCTAGTTGTTAATGTATATTATTTATGTACGTACCTCTCTTATAAGCCAGCCAGCTAGGGAACACTCTGACGTAATGAAGTTCCTCTAACAACTGTGAATCTTAATTAACAATTGCAGCTATCACCTTAAACTATATATATTTTCTATGTCTAAGAACATTAGTTGGGATTACAGTGACCAAATTAACTCTTATTGTGACCATGCTTTCCCTTCAATTTTCTCTAGATAATAAACTATATTCTGGAGCCACGTGTACAGTCATGTAATCCCAACAATATCAATTATTTTAGAGAAAAAGAAGGGTATACATGCATGGTGCATCTTTGCTTTACTTTAAAATTCACCAAATCAAGATCATGGAGAACTAATCACCAATATAATACAGGAAGATTTGCATCCCGGTCTAATGGAATTGGAATTGATTCAATTAATTGGTGGACACTACCACATGGGTGTGTGGTTCCATCACCATTAATTCATTAACACTCAAAAAGGCTTTCAATTATGTGAGATCTAAATTCCACTCCACTCACCATTTTGTGGTGGCACCATGTGCATCAAAGTGTCGGTTGGACGGCCAGAAATATGGGCAACAACCTTCTATTATTTTGAGATTAGATGGAAAGGCATTTGTAAGCACAGCTCATACCTAAAGATTTTTCTTCTCAAACACCCTACACCAACATGTGACAGATGTTAAGATTTTTCTTCTCAAACACCCTACACCAACATGTGACAGATGTTTGTACTTGTAGCATATGTTCAAGCCCACTTACAAGATTATCATAACTAACACAATTATTGTGGATTCTTGGCCACGAAAATATAATATAAAGTTATTGTTTCCCCATAGCTTTTTTTTTTTTTTTTTTTTTGCGGTGAAAATTGTTTCTCAATAACTACAATGATATCAATGCTTATACGGGAAAGCTCAATTAGTCTTAAACGGTGTACTTAAGCATGAGGGCAAAAATAGATCTTGCCGTGCGGTATCAAAACAGAAATTGGCGTTTAACAGTCTAATAAGATGCATGAACTTTTTCTTTATGAAACTATAAGATTGTTAAATAATTTATTTCATATCGAATAAATAAATAATTATAAATAATATTCAAAATTGAAAATTTGTTGTCAATCACAAAGGAATGTTGAGGGTGTAAAATATACTATAAAAACTCCATTTTATATTCAAAATTATCTTAATTACTATTAAAAAGTATAATTATTTTATATTAACAAAGCTCTTTAAAAATGTATTAAAAAAATTCAAATCATAACTGAGTGAAATTAGATAGTGAATTTGATATTGTTTATCGATTAAACCAATAATTATGTCCATTTTCTTATATGTGATCTTTAATTTTCTAAAGTATCTTCTTATATGTAGACAATGGAAGTTTAGTACTACAACCCATATGCATTATCTCATTTTTTATGATGGTTCCCGATGTCCAGGAAGAAGCTATGTGTTTCCAGTTTCAAAATTCCAGTTCACCATACCAAAAAATAAAGAAGAAAAAAAATAATGAATCGCATGTTTCCTCATCTCTTTTTGTGTCAGAAACATTGAACATAGTTTATACAAGAAATAAGTTGAATATAAAAAATATAACATGCCGATCGAAAGGGACTGGAAATTAAGGGGAGACATAATGCAAGAAAACACAATGTTTGTTAATTAAAGCAACATCGAAGCAATGGATACATGGAACCGACAGCTTCATGTAATTTGAAATTTTTGGTTTTTTTTAATCTTTTTTACTTGGCATTCATGTAGTCTTGCTTTATAAGTTCCATTATGCAAAGAGTAGATGCACATGAATATGGTAGACCGACTAAGAAGTTGCACATTAGTGATGCCCTCTTGGCGTTCCCTATTTAAAGACACTCTTCCAATCGAGCGAGTCATTATTGTGATTTATCCAATCCTCTCTTTATTTCATTAGTTCTGCTTTGTGTTCAACCTTCTTTGTTATTCATTTTCTTCATTTAAAAAAAAAAAAATCCTAATTTCTATCATAAAATAATGGCATCTTTGCTGCCTGAAATTACAAGCTTCAAAACCGGTGATGATGACTTCAAAGGAATTGAAGGGTTTGATGATAATGCCCTTCTCATGTCTTTGCTAGAAGATTCGCAAGGAGATCATGAAAGCAATGACAAAAGATTAAGGAGTGTGATCCAATCACTTGAAGCAGAGATTAATCCAAATATAATGTTGGACGGCTATGATTTAGGCATGAATCCAGCTGAGATGCCAAGTGATGGAGAGGAAACTAATGAATTGTTCAAAATGGCAGAAATGGAGTCGCTTGAGTTTGAATTGGTTGATATGGAAATGGTGCCTTCTTCACCAAGTGATCATCACATGAATTATTGGTACACGGAATCTTCAGAAAATGATATGGTTGAATTTGGTGTTAGAGACTATTTTCAAGTTGGTCATGAAGCCCTCTTGGAGGAGCATGTATATAGCTCATTATGGGAAGAAACATATGACACTATAATGTACAATTAAGTTGTGATTTTTTTCCCCTCAAATTTTCCGTTGACATCCCAAAAAAGGTGTAAATTTGAAGTAGGACGGCGAAGCTTTGAAAGAACCAGTTCAATTTTTAACAATTCAAGTTGTGTCGAATCCTTAGTGCAATATCTATCTTCGTTATAAATGGCAAACTTATTGGTAGCTATCACATACCCCTAGTCGGATGAAACCAGCTTATATAATTTCCTTTCATGTTCTCAGGAAGAGATAACCTCTAATCTTGTGAAACCTAATGTAGATCACTTTTCTTTTCTCTTCGTACAAGTAGATTAAATAAAATACCTTGACTGACCATATAAGCCACCCCGGAGAAAATACAATGAGTGGGACAAACAAGCTACCCACTAGCTAACAAAAGCTAACCACAAAACAATAATGGTTGAAGAAAAAAATATTCCTCGTCTAATTGTTTTTTAAAAGTTTCAGATTGATGAGGTGTGCATGTGAATAGTACATCTAATGGGTTAAAAAAGAGTAAAGTCCAATGTTCATATAAAAAAAGGATTAAGAATTTAAGAATTTAGGGTTTTTGGTCAAACATGTTTTTATCAATGCATGCATGGGTCTTTATGACTGAATGAATGGAGGAGATTGGGGGAGATTGATCATGAAAATATTTTTTTCTGCTTAAGCACTTAAATTAGTCTTTCTTGTGGGTTGAAGGACCCTTTAATGATTAAATGAGCACATAGAGAGAGGAGATGTATCAGCATGCTATTGTATGTTTATGTGATTATGAAGCATTTATTTTTTTTTTAATAGAGAAAAAAGAAATTTGGAGCCCTTCGTCTAAGGTTCTTAAATAGGTGAAAATTCTATCAAGGAGAGGAGAGTAAGATAATCTATTCTTCTGTTGCCAAAAGTCTCCGACGTCAACTTTGGAAACATGCATCCTTGACATTGATGGTTTGTTATTTGATAATTTTTATATAGTCGTAGTTAATGTCGATGTAAAACGATAATTTAGCAAGCATGTCTTAATTTAATGCAAATGCTTTTCATCGTGCCAGTGATGATGGAGAACCGTTTTTTCATTTGGGTTTGAATGTCCAGGCTACCATTGCTTAGAAGTACCTCTTTAAATTGGTGTCAAAATCTTGGCCCATCATTGACTTTGGTTGAGGGGTTTTCCTGGTCATAAACTTTGTAGGGTGTACAATGACACATGTCATTCAGACACATCAATATTTCTCCAAATCTTGAGAAGCAGGTTCAGCTTAGGCTATTATGGAGTGATTGGGCCCTTAGAGAAGCATCTACAACACTTCAAGATGGAGAAAATGTTGTTTTTACTTGTCTTATTTTTGGTTTACTTTGGTTGGCGGAGGTGCAGCCCATTTAGTTCATACTAATTATTTACCCACGCTACGTTGTGAGATAAGTAAAAAAAAATTATTTTAAAATTTTTTAATTATAATTTTTTATTTAATTAATGTATTTAATGTTTTTTTTATAAATTTTTATTTAGAAAACATAAATCATTCTTCTTTATGGGTTGATTTTAAAATAAAAAATATAATAACTTTAACTAAAATATTAATCAAGAATTAAAAAAAACTTTAAAAATATAATTTTCATAATATTGTATTCTAAAAAATAAAATTATAATTAATTGAAAAACTTTCACAAAAAAATTAACACACGCAAAAAAATTATATAAATTGATGGAAAAAAGCAAAGGAAAAAATGAAAGGGAAAAAAAATGTGTAGTGCATTAACTAGAGGATTAAAATTTTTATTTTAAAATTTTAGAGACCAAAATGAAACAATCTAAAAATTAAATAAAAAAAGAACCTAGAATGATGGAAAAAAGAAAAAGAAAAAGCATGTATAGTGAAAAAACTTGAAATCAATTTTTTAATTTTTTTTTATAAATTTTATATTTAAAAAACATAAATCATTCTTCTTTATGGATTGATTTTAAAATAGAAAAAATGTAATAATTTTAACTAAAATATTAACCAAGAATTAAAAAGACTTTAAAAATATAATTTTCATAATATTGTATTCCAAAAAATAAAGTTATAATTAATGGATAGACTTTTATAAAAATCAACAAATGAAAAAAAATAACATAAATTGATAAAAAAAGTAAAGGAAAAAAAAGACATGTCTAATGCTTCAGTTAGGGGACTAAAATTTTTATTTTAAAATTTTAAAGACCAAAATGACATAACTTGAAATTAAAAATAAATAAATAAATAAAAGAACCTAGGTTGATGGCAAAAAGCAAAGGAAAAAAAAAAACATGTATAGTGAAACAAATTTTTTTTAAAAAAAAACTTTGCTACAGGAATGAATAGTGATTTATAAGCCGAGGAAAAAATATTTATTATAGGGATAAAAATCAAATATAATAAATTTTTAATGACAAAAAAAAAAAAGATTACAAAACAGAGGCTAAAATAAAAATAAAAGCCAAAATAAAAGCTTAGCTACGGTAAGTAAAACAAAAAGAAATAACTTTAAAAAAAATACTAAAAGCCAAGAAAAAAATTTATTATAGGGATAAAATTAAATATAATAAAATTTTAATGATCAAAATAAAAAAAAGATTACAAAACGAGGATTGAAATAAAAATAAAAGCCAAAAGAGAGGTCTAGCCATGGTAAGAGAAAAAAAATGCTACAAGAATGAATAGTATTATGTGAGGGTATGAATAGTGATTGTCACCGTTCGAAACCCCTTACGCCTTTTAGTTTATAGTAATGGCTTTGATTTTTGTGTTGTTTTATGAAGAAGATAAAATATTTGGACATAGAGAACTCTAGAAAACATAAAGGAGTTAGGTCTTTAACCCATGAATTATTGCCCATAACATTTGTCATGTTAGGCTCACTATCTCTTATAATTGGGCCACGTCGAATTAGGTCTATTACTTGGGCTTGCATTTTTGAATAAAGAATTATGGAAGCTCGTACTTTTGTTCCTTAATTGTTGGCGGGCTTTCTTTTCCCTATTTTCATTGATTTTTATTTTCTATTATAAGATATTTTTAGTGAATTGGTGAGTGTAATTTAAAGATCTTCTAAAGGATTGTTTTTGTGACACATCTCTACAAAAATCATTTTCGCCAAGTGTGAGAATCCTTATTTAACATGTACTTTAAGGAGAGGATTTTGTCTTTTTGTAGAGATCCTTCTTTTTTGGAGAATCATTAGAGTTCCTAATAGGTAATCCTTTCTCTTTTTTTTTTTTTTTTTTTCGAGAATGGTAGATTTAGAAAGGGTAAGGAGCGTGTCCGAGGTCGTCCTTAATGGAGGTTCTATAGAGGAGAGAAACCCTAATATAGGCATAGCGATCTGTTTCGAAATGGATAGGAGTCTATATCTCTTCTTGGTGGAAGAAGTCCTAGCGAGGTGTTTAGGGTGAGGCTAACTAATTTTAACCATTGATTAAGATATAATTATCTCATATCCTTTCCAATTAAGATGACAATATAATTAGGCCATCTGTCGAGGCTAAAAAAAGGAATATAAAAATGATCGTTCCCGTATGCATATTTTGTTTATAATTGCATGCTCTTTCCGTCTAGATTTGTTGAGGAGGTTTTTCATAACTTTGGCTTGTGTGAAAATAAACTTCATCCAAATAGGTTGATGATTTTTGCCGTTTTTTAGAATTTTTATAGGCATTTATTCCCACCCTCGAGCTCTTTAGCCAATTTTATTTCTTGGCTATAGGGACTATAAATAAGGGTAAAGAATGCCCCATATATATATATATATATATATATATATATATATATATATATATATATATATATATAATTTTCTAGCTAAGGAGGTGTTTGTGGGATTTGGCAACCTAGCAAGCGATTGGCAAGAACAATGATTTGTAGTGATGTATAGAGGGTGCATACCCTTGAAAAGAGCTTAAGGGATCCGAGGGTGCACCCCTTTATAGAAAGCACCTAGGGGCAATTATAATGCGATGCCTACCCTTTTTGACATTGATCAAGAATTTTGTGATCAAGTGAAGATCAAGAGTGGCAAATATTGAGTCGGCCTTCTTACCAAAAGGTTGGCATTGACCTATAGTTTGTAAGGTAGATAAATTGAACTTAGATATTTATAAATGTATTTTCTTCTTCTAGTTTGCTTTGGTACCTTGTTTGTTAAAATATCCTTCTTCTTTTTTTTTTTTTTTTAATTGGCCAAATTCTTGAAAGAGAAGCTAATTCGGCTCAATTCATGATGGAGCCCTTTGTTTTTCATGTTGAGAGAGTTGCTCCGGAAGAGTCCCTTCAAACTCTTATTCCCTCTTCCTCTTTTCTTCTCGAGAGGAACTACTAGCAAGGATAAGGGGTATGGGTTTATATGGAGGTGAAGCTCGTATAATCAAGAGAGAAAAGGTTGGGTTTGGGGCCTTAAAGGTGAACGGCAACCCTATACATTCTAAGGAGAGACAACCATTTCTCTTTTTGTAGTTGAGCCTGCTGTTGAACAAGTTATGATGCCGATGGTTTTACCAAATACTAAGACCTCTACCCCATTTGGAAAGACCTCTCAAGTCATAATTCTAAAAAAGAAAATTGATGGAGCTCATGTTCACCGATCGGGTAATGGTTTCGATTGCGCTCCTTTACCTTATTTGATAGAAGAGCAATTCTACCTAAATAGAACACACTTAAAATTATATATGTTTTATTATTATATATTGATATTGATGTCTTGGATTTTCATACTATGTTGGTTTTTTTATAAATGATAAATAATTGTCAAAAGGTACATTTTGAATTAAAATGACAAATGTTGTAATAAATGAATGGTTAGCATGAGTCAAAAGGATAAAGCTACAAGTTTTTTAATATGAGGGTTAAATTATAGTAAAAAAAGCTAGGGGCTAAAGAATTATTTGCACAAAATTTATTGATGTTATAAAAATTAGTTTAGGTGCTTAATACTTTGTAATTGTTGATACAATTTTTTGTGCTAATGATTTTGGTACTAATGCATAGTAAGAAATAATT